GGTATCGAAATAGATGCCTAATGGTTGAAGCATTCAATAAATTCAGACAGGAGAGTTGACCTTCGATGTCTTTACTTAAGCAGTGAGGTGAGGAGGAAGTAAATTAAGAAAACGAAATGCTGAGATACTGCAATCCCTAATTTTTCCTGCTGGTAATATTTAAGACAACTTTAATTCATATAGTTTAGAGTGCAGCTACGCAAACCTGCCTTTATGTCAAAAAGCAACTAAGTTAATTGTATTGAAAGCGGTGTAACAACGAGAACGGAACGACATACTTGTGCCCCATAAGCTCGAACGCCGTTCCTTTGCACGAACCGATATCCCAGACGATGATGAGTTTGTCGTGGCTAGCTGAGAACAACAACTGGCGTGCGGCGTCCCAAGAAAGCGATGAGACACTGCCTGAAACGAAACGTATGCTAGGACCATTAGAACACCGAGATTAAAAAAGGTATTCAAAGTTCAACTCACTGCTGAATCTAACTTTAACTAAACGTCGAAAAATCATGATCAAACAACAGACGTCAATAAACCGGTTACGTTTTTAAAATCACTGACATATTATGTCAATTTTTTGCGCAGGTTTTGGATGGTGAAAAGGACCGCTTTCGTACGAACGAAAAGTTGGTGGCAAAAATTTCTTAGTCTTGTTCGGCGTTCAAAATCGTTGCATCAGAAGAGCATCAAGTCACTAAGCATTTGGCCCAGAGTCAAAATGAATTACGGATGTCGTTTTTAAGTACATAAGTGCTTCGAACAATGCAAATACAGCGCAGATTACTCCCCTCAGTCGCCTCGCAATACCTGGAGCAATTGGATGCACTCATTCTTAAAAAAAAATTTGGTTCGAATAATTATACTCGAAACAGTAACCAGAAAAGGTGACGGTAATCACTATGAAATCCACAACTGTCTTCGAAAATGCCCTGAATATAATATTCCGAACCTACTAGCAGCAACTTAGAGCGACAGAGTACGGCTGTTGCTCAGTTTGAATAAGGCAAAAAAGAACGACGTCTTCAGCGTAGCCCAAACCTACAAAAGTGCTGTCGCCCGTTAATATTCCGGCGCAGTGTACCGTCTTTTGTAGAGTCTAGTCAATGGCCAAGCACAATAAGACAGTACGAGGACGCAGCTTTGTCTGACGCTCGAAGTTGTGGAGTAGCGATCAGACAGACGGTGTACAATGCGATCCTTTTGGCACGTGTCGGTGTGAAGTGTTTCAATCAGGCTTAGTAGTTTGGTGTTTAAGTTGCTTTCCGGCATCTTCCAAAACGCTCTGCTGAGCGACTCAAACGCCTTCTAATATCAGCACAGTACAACTGCATGAGTTTCCCAAATCTTCTATGCAGCTCAGAGAGTAAGCGCAGAGTGAGAATTGCATCTGCCATGGATCCTACTAATGTAAATTCAGATTAATCTGTTCTGCTGTGAACGTAGCGACGTTAGCTGCACATGAGTGAAGTCTTTGACGAAACCGACAGCAGAGATGAAAGCCTATAACCACGGCAGTCTGCCTTGTACCTCTTGCCCTTGTACAGCAAAATAAAAACCACCCCATTTGACTCCTATGGCATCTTGCCGCTGTTGTAGGTATTGGCGAAGAGAGCGCGCAATGCCCAACTTGTCTCTTCCAATGTCCATTTCGACAGCTCAGGTGGAAAGTTATCCGCGACCCTATTTTGCCGTCCTTCAGCATTTTCGCTGCCGTT